CTTAGCCCCGATGGCTTGATAAGACTTATAGAATAGCAAGCAGATAGTTGACCGTGAGTTGACTTTTATAGTCCTTAGAGGAATCTATCATTTATGTACTATTCGCTATTATAAATTGTAGGGTACCAGTCAGCACCRTTAAGTAAGCAATCGACGTTATCAGGTGAGTCTTCATGAGAYTTACACTGGGATGCATACCTACGTATAAACTTATTTGCAAGCATTATATGATTTATATGATGATGGTACAAATGCATRATGTTTCAAGTTACATACATGATATGTTTTACATGTATGAYGTTTTTATGATCAGTTGYATGCTATGTGTTTAACCAGTTTTCGAATAACTCTAGCATGTYTTCTATATCAAAGYTTGATCAGTTTTAGTGGGTGRGCATTTGACCAAAAAGTCACATGACAAGTGGCACGACCCARYMATGAGCGTCTAGGCAGATACAGTCGGACAACTCAGGGAATGYCRGTGACTAAAAGTCACGTGACAAGTGGCACRACYCAGTRATGAGTGTCTAGACAAGAGCAGGGCTGACGACTCAGGGAAWGCCAGTGACTAAATGACTCGTACCCGGCAGTTAAAATCATGAGATCTCATGTGTTCAGTATTGCATGTTTTACAGAAATTGCATGYTACAAGTTGGTTTAAAATTYACAAGTTGAAATGTATGACGTACAATGATTTATGCACGAAAACCATGAACTCACTGAGCTTTATAAGCTGACTATAGTATGCATCTCAGGCCCAGGTAGTTCGAGGACGGATACGGGCAAGGGACAGGCATAGGGAGTTGCCTATTGTCATCTTGTTTTAGTCTTTTGTCTAAAATGCACTGTAATGATCTTTTGTAACTCAACCCCAAAAGTAAGTGGGTTAGAACTTGAGTTAAGCTTGATAATTTCAAAGACTTCCGCTGTAATAGTTCAGATGGTTTTAAATTAGCCATCTTTTTGGGTGCATTTATGAAGGAAAAAGATTCAGATTACGTAACATTTCTCTTGAATGAAAATGAGGGTGTTATAAGTTGGTATCAAAGCGTTAGTTTAAGGTAATTAGGCTAAAACTTGCTTAGCTTAAGCTTAAACTGAGAAGATTGTTAGAGCTTTAGTTTAAGGTAATTAGGCTAAAACTTGCTTAGCTTAAGCTTAAACTGAGAAGATTGTTAGAGCTTTAGTTTAAGGTAAATAGGTTGAGATTTGCTTAGCCTAAGCTTAAACTGAAATGATTTCTAGAAGCACATGTTCATTGCGTATTGGTGCGCTTAACATGCTATTAAGTTTGATCCTACGTCACTACTCGACTTAGTGTTCCTTTTAATTGTAGGAGACATGGTTTGCACTATTCACACCAGGGCTATCAGACGCGGACGCGAATACGAAACCCGTAGGACGCCTTACGGACTAGGGCCGAATAGAGGGTCGATTGGCAGACACCGCCCCAGCACCGGGCAGGTTCCCAGTATCCAGTCCGGAAGCGATAGTCCGGCCCACACTAGTAAAGTGTCATCACGCGAGCCCATCAGGCAAGGGACCACGCCCGAACCTTCGGTGGACTACACGCCCCGCACCCCGACACGCGAGGACATGATGGAGACTATAGAGACCCTGGAGGGCGAGAACACAAGGCTAAGAGAGAGGGTGACCCGAACGTTAGATGACAATACTAGACTGAATGAATGGCTGAACAATTTTCAGCGGGCACATGTCGAACAAGGAGGAGCCCTGATCGAGTTAACTGAAGAAAATGCAGATTTGTCAGACCAGTGTCATGCCCTGATTTGGGATAAGGTGGTACTCGAGCAAGAACGAAGGATTGCCACTCGCCCCGTAGGCACCAGAATCAAGGACAGGGTTCGCTTCTATAAAAGAGTGACCATGGACTATGCGGGGGTAGTAAAGGGCTATCTCTCCAACTGGGTTCAATGCATCAGAAATGGCCCAAGGGCTAGTGTGCTGTGGCACTCCTTACCATCTACATCCTATGAGCAGTGGTTAAGGGACCCTTATCTCCCTTATTACCCAACCGATCAGTTCTAGACTTAGAGTCCTTTTGGGAAAAGAGGGAGAAAAATCTTTTGGGTATGGAATGTAATAGTGAAGGTCTAGATAGCTGATCGAACTATCAATAGATCTCTTTTTTTGAACAGTCACATGATTAAGCGATGTGTCAAAATTTCGTGAATCCCATCTTTTGTAGGTAAATGGGATTTTGTAATATGTCTCTCCCCGAGATTTTATGGAATATAAGTATATCTTTTTAGCATTACGAAATTCTTGACACTAGTTTCATATTATGCATTCCGCCTGTGTATAGCAATTATTTATATATGAATGGAATGAGTACGTTGACTTTAGAACCTTACTGAAATAATAGTACCCTATGTTATCAGTATGGTTTCTCGTGGATCAACAAGGAACGCTCTCAATGATGGAGGCATTAATGGCGTAGCCCCACCGGCAGTCCGGGGACGGACGCGGGCCCAGGGTCGAGGTCGCAGAAATACCCGAGCTGCTAATTCAAGTACAGCCCCATCCACACCAGCTAGTTTGGCTGTCGGTAGGAGCCAAGGGGATCAAGGGGAAGAATTTCCTCTCACGAAGGAAACAATGGCGGAGCAGATGGCACAAGTCCTCCGGGACACATTGCCAAATATGCTTAAGGAATTGTTAGGCAATCGATTTAAGGATAATGAAGAAGGAAGGGAAGAAAGTGTTCAACATGAAAACACTCAAGCCACCGGAAGTATGGAAATATCTGACAAGGAGAAGGTAGAATCGCCCATCATGGGGATCACTGGGTTGGCAACAAAAGAGAGAGGATGCAGCTTTAAAACGTTCAAGGGTACCGGGCCAAAGGAATTTAAAGGCATAAAAGGCCCAGTCGGCCTGATGAACTGGATAGCCAAGATGCAAAGCTGTTTCAAAATTTGTAGGTGCACGGAAGAACAAAAGGTAACTTATGCTGCTACGACCTTTGTGGACTATGCACTGCACTGGTGGGAGACTGAGTGCGCAGTCAGAGGTGATGARGAGATTGCTGCCATGRCATGGGAGCAAATGAARAARATGATGATGGATAAGTACTGCTCGCAAACAAAGGTGAACAAGCTAGAATCCGAATTTCTAAGGTTGAAGCAAGGATCGTTGTCAGTACAAGAATATGTCAACGAGTTTCTTGAAAAGGCAAGGTTCGCCAAGTATCAGGTGGCCACCGAGGAGAGAAAGATAGGCCGTTTCAAGGATAGCTTAAAAATCGAGATCAAGCGGTATGTAGACATGACTAAACCAACCACGTTTGTACAAGCAGTGGAGATGGCAAAGGTGGCGAAAGAGAACAACGCTAGAGAAGGTAGTGATAGAAGAGAGGCGAAGAGAAGATGGGAAGGATCGAGCAAGTTCCACAAGAAATCCAAATGGATTCCGACTTCGACAAAAACCCGAAGTGAGGAACTCACTATTCCTCCATGTAGCAAATGCAACAAGAAGCACAAGGGAGAGTGCAGGGCGGGGAGCCTGACGTGCTACCGGTGTGACAAACCGGGGCATACCGCACGAGAATGCCCGGAAGGAAGGACATGTTATGAATGTGGAGCTACGGGACATTTGCGTCCTGACTGTCCAAAACATCGTAATAGTGCGACACCCCACGGGAAGACGAGGAATAACAGATTTGGAAGAAGACCGGAAGGTAGGAAGGAGCTACCTAAGGGACATGGCCGAGCTTACAGCATGACTTTGGAGGAGACCAAGGAAACACCGGACATCGTATCTGGTATGTTCCCTATCAACAATGTGTATGCACATGTGTTATTTGATTCGGGTGCGAATGGTAGTTTTGTGTCTACTGCTTTCTGCCACTATCTGGATAAGAGTGCCTGTAGGCTAGACAAAACCTACACTGTAGAAACAWCCAACGRTAGTCAGTGTAAGGTAGACRAAGTATTTGATGAATGCACGATCGTTATAGATGGGAAGGATTTCCCTGTTAAACTTATGCCAATGAGCCTAGGAGGTTTTGATGTAGTCTTGGGGATGGATTGGCTGTCCACCAATCATGCACAAATAGTATGCAATAAGAAGATGGTCAAGATTCAAACTCCAAAAGGAGAAACGATCCAGGTTTACGGTGATCGAAAGAGGGGTTGCGTAGGGATGATTAATGCCATTAAGGCAAATAAGTGTCTACGAAAGGGTTGCGTAGCCTACTTGGCATACGCCATTGATGCCAAGCTCGAAAAGAAAGCAATACAAAATGTACCAGTGGTAAGGGACTACCCGGATGTATTTCCGGATGAGCTGCCAGGAATACCCCCGGAACGTCAGGTGGAGTTCCGAATTGTTCTGGTGCCAGGTGCGGCACCAATCGCAAGGGCACCTTATCGTTTAGCCCCAACCGAAATGCAAGAACTGATGAAGCAATTGCAAGAGCTCTTAGATAAAGGATTTATTAGGCCAAACTCATCGCCATGGGGAGCACCGATTTTATTCGTCAAGAAGAAGGACGGCACGATGAGGATGTGCATCGATTATCGGGAACTGAACAAAATCATGATAAAGAACAGGTATCCTTTGCCAAGGATCGACGGCCTTTTCGATCAGCTGCAAGGAGCCAGCTGTTTCTCGAAGATCGATTTGAGATCAGGCTACCATCAGTTGAAGGTTCAAGGAGAAGACGTATCAAAGACAACTTTTAGGACTCGATACGGGAATTACGAATTCGTAGTAATGCCGTTCGGATTGACAAACGCACCTGCGGCATTCATGGACTTAATGAATCGAGTCTGTGGTCCGTATTTGGACCAATTTGTCATAGTCTTTATAGATGACATTTTGATCTATTCGAAGAATAAGGAGGAGCATGAGCAACACTTAAGATTGACTCTTGAACTGCTAGCAAAGGATCAATTGTACGCCAAATTCTCAAAATGTGAGTTTTGGTTGCATGAGGTACAGTTCCTCGGTCACGTAGTCAACGAGGAAGGAATCAAGGTGGACCCGGCTAATATTGATGCAGTTACGAACTGGGAATCGCCAAAGTCAGCATCGGAAATCCGAAGTTTTCTAGGTCTAGCAGGATATTACCGAAGGTTCATCCAAGATTTCTCCAAAATAGCAACGCCCTTGACAACGTTGACTAAGAAGTCAGTTAGGTTTGATTGGGGAACGAAACAAGAAGAAGCGTTCCAGACACTTAAGGAGAGACTAAGCACTGCACCAGTTTTATCCCTACCAGAAGGAGTAGAAGACTTTGTCGTATATAGCGATGCGTCAAAAATGAGATTAGGTTGTGTGCTAATGCAGCGAGGCAAGGTCATTGCATATGCATCACGACAGTTGAAAGAACACGAGAAGAGATACCCAACTCACGACATGGAATTAGCAGCTGTTGTCTTCGCGCTAAAAATCTGGAGACATTATCTGTTCGGTACAAAGTGTATGATCTACACCGATCATAAGAGTGTTAAGTACTTGTTTGATCAAAAGGAGCTAAATATGAGACAAAGAAGGTGGATGGAACTACTTAAGGATTATGATTG